TAGATTTAGCAAGACGAGATTTGCATATATCATACCTTTCCACTTCTTATGGACAAACCATACTATTCAGTACATGAACATTAACCAGTAGAACCATGATGAGATATAAAGTGAATACATGAACATTAACCAGTAGAACCGATGAGACACACAGGAATACATAAACACTGAACCAATAGAACCATGATAAGATGACCTGGGAGTACATAAACTTTAACCAAGAGACAAATGGTAAAATTCACAGTGAACAAATCAAAATAAACCAAATAGTGCCATCAGATACAGTGTAACAGTGAGTACACATTCACACAATTTCAGCCAGAAAGTCCCTGAAATGAGAAATGAGAACAGTAGTAAAAACAAATTAAATATTTATGAAATATTAATAGTTAATGATCATAAACTATATATTTTAACAGTGCTATATATGTATAATAATATTTCAACAAAGTAAAGTATCACAACACTATAACTAGTTATATCCTGAGAAGTTCGCATCTCTAAGGACAAAATAGAGAATATCGAGAATACCAACATCCAAGAAAGACAATAATTAACCAATGCTCGCAAGCTAATAACATCAAAATATTTGAGACCTCCACTAATAATTCCGATACGGATGACGACTCATCTCAAGAAGCCGAAGCACAAAGAAACCTTTGTACTATCTTCGATTCTTGGTACAAATAACCTGTTTACATTGAAACTAGTAATCATGCCGAGATTAACACGTTTACTCCTTACATTAAATATTCCCAAGGAAATTATGACGAGTCATTCCCTACGTTTAGAAAGATCCCACGCCACCTATCCGAATAATTTCGTACACGGATTCAACGCTTTTTTCATCTGTATTTGGGTGAAATCACAATACAATAATTATACACCAAAAAATGTGCAGTTTAAAAGAATGTACTGCAACTTTTTTACTCAAAAGTTAAACTTTTAGAATCTATAACAATGTGCAATTCGCACGTTTTTCGAAGAGCCAAAATTGTATTGTTTAATGAAAATAAAATACATCAACGAGAAATATCCATTAGACAATGAAGTGCTACGAAATGTAGGTGGCAATTTTTATTGTATAATCGTTTTATAAAAATTAAACGTATTATTTAAACATTGGTCGTTCACATTTCATTTCCTTGATGAACACTTTCAGCAACAAACAATGGTTTAAACATGTTAAATTATCAAAATTACCTAACAAACTGCTTTGCAGTAACACAGTGTTGGACTTCCATCTCCCACCTATCGTCTTCCAAACACGAGAACACGCCATAGAACACAATCATAAGTCCATAACCACAAGAGACACAAGTACTGTTCATTCTTTACGATGCTTGGTTGATTTCAGGAGTCATAATTACTGGACAGAATGTAGCAAAAACATGAGACGGAAATATGACAATAATATGCAATACACGAAATTGAACACTAATCCAATCTCTAACTAATATCTCGATACAGCCCAGGAATATACCACGCCATATACAAGCGTATATCTAAATTAAACAAAACTTAGCGAAGGTTGAGGTTTGATTTGGATGCTACAAGTCATCAGTCAGGAACGAAGAGTCGCGTAAGAACCCTTAGGCATGCGTATTTAGTCTTCGTAATCTGGTCGGTATGCATCGTAAAACGGGATGTAATTGGTTTGACACTGGTTTAACTGTCTCAAGCAGTGGACTCATAATCGGCTACAAAATATTTGCTGCCAGGAATGTGAGAATCACTTATCCATACGTGCTATTCGCCATTTCCAAATTCCTCCTGAGCTAAGCTCGGAAGCTTATTTTATTTATGTTCATTGCTAACGTAATGTCCACTTAATCGAATGTGAACATGTAACTTGTTCTGACCAAATATTTTAGGCCTGCGTCTCTCAATAGTCCTCAGTCCTTTTGTCATTGTATGTCCCATACATTAGCTTGATGTGATATGTCTGTTGTAATGAAAATGTGACCTCATTCTTACATGTTACATTTTGTAAGTTGCGACGTTGTTCCACTCCAAGAATTCTTTGTGAGCGAATTGCCATTCAAATTCCTCCTGAGCTAGCTTGAAGCTATTTTATTTATGTTCATTGCTAACGTAATGTCCACTCTTAATCGAATGTGAACATGTAACTTGTTCTGACCAAATATTTTTAGGCCTGCGTCCTCTCGGTAGTCCTTTTGTCATTGTATGTCCCATACATTAGCTTGATGTGATATGCGTCTGTTGTAATGAAAAATGTGACCTCATTCTTACATGTTACATTTTTGTAAGTTGCGACGTTGTTCCACTCTCCAAGTTAATTTTTTGTGAGCAAGATAGGGAAAGTATTGTCGTTTCGTTAAACTTTATCTTTTCCTTCTTTGAAGCAAGTGTTTCAAACTGATCATTGTTTTGTAGTAAAGCAGGCCAGACATAACCCCAGTTCCCAAGATAATCAGAGACTAACTTCCCAATGACTCTAGCTTATCTACGAATTGTGATCGACTGCGTGTGCAACACTTCAGAGCAAAGCTTCTTGATCGTAAGAGCTTTGGTGATTTTATCAGTCATTGTTATTAAGTTCAACACAAATCCTACAATGAATATTTTTGTTTGAGGGATAAATGCTGATTTGGCACGGTGAATGATGAATCAAGCTCTGTTAATAACACCATTGTGGTAGTTGAGTTCTCCACGCACTCAGGAGCGTGGAGAAGTGGAGAGTGAAGTATGTTTTTAGGGGCTACAGCGTCAAATTTGCCAACAAATGGGCGTGGCATAGTCTTGGTTTGAGCGTAGTTACTGAAAATATATTGAAATTTAAAAAAATTTACAGTAGATGATCAATTTTGCGACAGAACGATTAAGTATTGGGTTAAGTATGAGTCCGATTCGAGATTACGTTTAAAAAACATTGGTGAGATTTGCCGGTTGTATTCAATTGACATATCCATAATATAAGAAATGATAGTGGTATTTTTTGCCATACAGAAAAAATGGACAGATTTCCCTACTGAAAGTTTTCCACTCTTCTTTGTGAATATTTTATGTGAGCTTGGCACTATATAAGAACCAAAATTTTTACATTTTGCTTTATTTCTTTCCGCTGTCTGATTATTTCCTGTTTCTCGTTGTCCCCAAGTGAAAGTTTTTTTTCCTTGAAAATACGCCCTGATTATAGTTGTTTTAACAGAGAACCTGGAAGAATATGATCTTTTTCCAGCTATATAAGGGCTAGCAAACATCAAATTAAGTTTGCTTGTTTCTTTAGAATCTCGCATTCTATATCGTCTCCAAAAAGCAAATTGCTTGTGTTTTCAGTGTTATTACATGTGTTTGTCTAATAAGCTTTCGAAATTGGCTTTATACTGGTGCGCCGTACGCAAGATATAGCATTATACACATAGTCTAAAGGCGACAGAATCTACACAATTCATGAGAAGAAGTTTGGTTTATGGTTCGTCTATTTTCAGCCTTTATTTTTAATTTTCAGGTTTACAAAAACAACATTTCACAAGATTTGTTGATTATTTGCCAAAGTAAGATCCACTTTCTGTGATGTTTTTTAAGTGATGACTATAAATCACAATTTACAGTGATTGGGGCTATATTTAGAGCAGTTTGCTGGATGTTTTGTACAAAGTGTTCTGGTCCAAGACTTTTCCTTATCCAACGTTAGTTTGCCATTTTGCAAGTTGTCGTTGGTTTGCAGTACTAAGGCTGTTGTCTTGCTTAAAAGATTTTTGATAATTCTAATCTCTAGAAGCAGCTTCTGACAGTAAGATAAGACGTACGTTGTCCAAATTATATGATTGCTTGTTGAGCAGATAATTTATATCGTATACAGTATTTTGTGCATATAAACTTTATCTATCTTTCTTTTAAATTTCAAGTAACCGTCATTTTTAACTTCGATTTCTTCGCTGTCTGAGAAATCGGACCCATCAATATCTTGTTTTTCTGGTGAGAATTCTCTGCAATTTTGGCGGTGTTTATGGGTCCACGTGATCTTTTAAATTTGTCCTTTTAGACTGTTATATTATTTTGTTCAAATTAATCCTAAATTTTTATGAGATGACCAGCCTTTTTGCTCGTGTTCTAGCTTTTTCTAATGCCATTTGGAGCGAGTTCTAAACACTGGAAGTATTTGCTGTGATAGTGAATCTTTATTTGGCTGAAACATGAGTGTCGAATGTCGAGAATGTAGATAGGTCATCCATTTTTTTAGCGAATTTACTCTCTCTAATTTGTTTCGTGAAGTCCAAGTTTTCCTGTATTGCCCTGTAAAAAAGCCCAGTTTCTGCCTATCTTGTCTGATGTGATAAAGTATTTCTCATGTGATGGTTAGGGATGCATTTCACATATTTGCTGAACACAAATTATTATTATATTGTAAAAGCTAATTTCTATTTACGTGAAACAATGAACACTAGAAAAGTGAAAACCAATTCTTGCAAAACAGTGAGGAGGAGAAAACAAAGTTTCGTCTTGTCACTAATAACTCAAAATTGTGATAAATCAGTGTCCTTAATGAAGCAAAAAGTTTTACGCAAAATATATTTGATGAGCAGATCAGCGTGAATTAATAATTAATCTTGACGCGGTCGAGGGATAAGGGAACCCAATTAGTACATTGTAATTGGTTCGTTTTATAATCAAACACACATGCACGAGTTGTATTTTACAAAATTGTTATATAATGTCAATTGCACATTGACATTCTGACATTTCAAAAGAATACCCCGGCTTAAAGAGGACATAAACACTTAGCAAGTAAAACTAAAAACAGACAGGACAAATAAAATTGCGGCATTATAAGTAGGCCTTGACTTTGAGTTTATTTTTACAAACCCATCACCTCTGAAGGTGCACATGGCTAAATCAAAACAAAACAAAACAATAAAATAGTCGTTCACAATTAGGTAGTTTTTGTTGAGATATTCTTTATTTCTATACTTTAAATATGTCGTTATGCTCATATTTTCTTAACCTTAAGTACTTAAACTTTCTTTAGGTGAAACATGAACGTAGATTCACACCAGGAGGTACAAACCATTCATCTCACAACCCACACAAAATTCTCTAATTGCAAATCATCAGACGATGAATCATCTGATAGAGTATTGTCCACTAGCAAATCATCAGATAGAGAATCCTCTTCTGGTAAAACATCTAATGGCGAATCTTCCACTGACCAATCACTAGATGGGGAATTCTCCATTGAGGAATCATCAGATGGGGAATTCTCATATGGTGAATCATCAGATGTCAAATCCTCGGATGGGAGATTATCTGATTGTGAATCATCAGATGGTCAATCATTTGATTGTGAATTATTAGATGGTGAATCATCATATTGTAAATCATCAAATGGCAAAACATCAGATGGGGAAACATCAGATGGCGAATCATCCAATGGCGAATCATCAGATGGTGAATCCTTCATTGAGGAATCATCAGATGGAGAATTCTCATATGGTGAATCATCAGATGGCGAATCCTCAGATGGTGGATCATGTGATTGTGAATCATCAAATGGTGAATCATCATATTGGGAATCATCAAATGGTGAAACATTAGATTGCGAATCATCAGGTGGCGAATCATCAGATGGTGAATTATCAGATGGCGAATCATCAAATGGAGAATTCTCAGATGGCGAATTATCAGATGATGAATCCTCTTCTAGTAAATCATCAGATAGTGAATTCTCAGATGGAAAATTATCAGATAGTAAATCCTCCATCATCGAATCATCTTATTATGAATATTCCTCCAGCGAATCTTACGATGGAGAGTATTCGGGCTGCGAATCATCTGATGTGGCATCCTGTGAAAGCGAATCACCTTATGGTGAATTTTCTAACCAAGAATCATCAAATAGTGTTTTCTCCGCAGCAAATCATCAGCCAATGAAATCTCCATCATCAAATCATGTAACGACGAATCTTACGACAGCGAATCAACTAATGGTGAATTTTCCCGCAGCAAATCATATAATGAGCAGTCCTCCTCCTACAATGAGTCATCTGATGGTGAATCCTCTTACAGCGAATTATCAGATTGTGAATCCTCTGCAAGTGAATCGATTGATTTCTACTCCGACCTCCTATTCAGGAGACTGGGAAGAGGGTGATGATTTGTTGGTGGGCTGTACCGATGCAAAGGAGGGAATACCTAATGAACTGTAAAATAAACTGAAATCAAGGTCCTTATTTGGTCATGCAATGTAAACTTTTCTGGGTTCACTTACTGTAAGAACAAAAGATTTTTACAAAATTAATAATAATTATGTTTTTCATTTTACATGACACACGTGCACGTGCTTTTGAGCACCGTCCAGTAAAAATTGATGGATTATTTAAGTCTTTTATTTCTTCAAGAAATCATTATGCTCTTTTGAATATAGTTGTATGCAAATATTTGTCTATTCTATCCATATAATTTTTCGAAAGGAGTGTTTGCGTGTGACGTCAAAGCACCATGTTGGTGGAGTGCATCATCGTGCCGATGTTCAACAAGCGATAAAATTAACATAAATTCTTTTCATTAGATGTGATTTTCCCCCAACGGGGCGATTGATGAAAACACTCTAATCTGATGATTTATCTTAAGTATTTTTGTATGTTTAGATTTATCTTAACTATTTTTCTATGAATATTGTTTTCCGATTTTCTCAGGAGTAACAGCGAAATAAAAATTGTTAAAAGAAAAAAAATAAATATAAGCTTTTAAAATTTGTCATGACTTTGTATATTCATTTTACGCCACCTTTATGGTATGTTTTTAAAATGAATTTTTTGCTCCGTTTTTGTTAGCTTTGTAAAATATTGGCTTTTTAGAAGAAATTTGTTGTACAAATGACTTTCGTCCTTAGAGTAGAAATTAACTAAATTTTCTTCTAAACTTTTGATAAGCAACTTAGCTAAGACATACGACTGAACAACTACTAGTTTGGCGAAAACTCCGCTGACAGAAAATTATCCGAGTCTTTTCGGCTCAATCATCGGGTTCTGAATCAAATTACTTTACTTGTTCTGAGTAATCGATCAGTTTATGTTTTAGAGATAACAATATTACTGATGATTCAAATAGTGCAACACTGAACCTCGTAAACTCCTATCGTCAATGAAAACTCTTTTTAAGCAGACTGAAAATATCCCAAAAAACAAAGCAGTTGAGAAACATGATGAGAGAGCGGCAGTTCATCATAGCCTGTTCTACTTCGATTGCCTAACCAAGTGACTTGAAAAAATGACGGATTTCTTTTAATTTGGTCTATTTTTGTGATGAATCGGGTTCACTACTATGTAAAGACACAAATAAATACCTACAAACTTATTTTAAAAGTTTCAAACGTTTTTTTAAAAGTATACAAAATAAGCGAATATTCTCACATGCAAAATGCTTGCTCCATACACAGGCTGTGGCTATTTCGCTTGCAAGTGAAGATCACCACTTTTCCCAAAAAATAAGCTGAAGATCAACGAGTCTGTACTTAAAATCTCAAGTCAGTTTTGTGATTTGTCTTACAGAAGCAAAATTTAGATGAAGATTGTAATTTTGAAAGGCTTGAAATGACTTCAATGAAGATGCGCTTGAAAAATTACCGAGCAAAGTAAAGCAGTCTTTCTCTTGGTGTTTTTTATGGATGATTTTCATCCATTAAAGACAGACCTTGATTTAGATCAAGAAACTTTGGGTAACTTCTGCATATGATATACAATGATCAAAAATCTTTTTTTCGTCTTTAGTTCTTAGTCTCACTGTGTGTCGTCTCTTTACTTCAGGAACGATTTACAAAGATGTAAGTAAAACAGAATGCATTTCTAAATCCTCTTTGATGTTTTTATTTTTGAGAGAACGGATGTTTTGAAAAGTCAATTCAAAGAACTTTGTCTTTAGGCTCTAATCACGAGAGGTCAAATCCGTTTATTTTATAACATTAATGTTCATTCACAGGGCATCACGTTTCTTACTTTGTCATCGATGTATTCAATAATGGTATTAGAACAATTACAAGAATATTATCAAAGATACCATAAAATATGTGCATAAAAATTACATAATAAAAAGTTAATGTTCATTTATCAAAATCAGCTAAATTACATGGGTTTCGTTTAGATTAAGTCTTAATACGAAACATTTGTAAGTTATTTAAATCATATAAACGAGGTTATAGCATATATGAAAGCAGAATCTTCCTACTAATTTGAAGGTTGAGTTGCCCAGTATTTACGTAGAGAAAGGTCGTCTGAACTCTGAAGTGAAAGCTTGTAAGGACCACTTATTCCATAAAACTTTCCATAAACGTTTCCGAATATCGATTAATTTTGTGTTTATGCTGCACATTTAGCGATGTTGCTGCTTTTCGATTTTATTGGTAAAGATAAATATACGTTGGCTATAATTTATCAAATTAAAGGGAGATAATAAAATAGCAAAAAAGGTGGGTAAGGACGAAGAAGACTAGCAATACAGCTTTGTATAGACATATTGACCATGATCGAATCTTCTGGTCACAAAAAATATCAAGCACATTTATCTTGGCAACTATTTCGTCCAGAATTTGAGTGAATTTGCAATTGTGTGGACACAGAGGAATTAAGTGTGTGAAATACATAAGCATTACAAATATACTTGCGTGATCAGTAAGAATATTTCACTTCTTCTTTGAAACATCATAATTTGACGAAATAATTCTAAAGTTTTAAAAGATATTTCTCTCCAACTTCTGTCACTAGCACACAATTTATCGCAGAAATAGGAAGCGAATCTCATTCTGCTAGATTGCTGGGGCTAACACATCTTTGTGAGCTGGTACGGTTGTTTTTTGGGCTTACATATCGCACGCAATACTGAATAACGTTCAATAAACCAAAAGACTGGCAAAAGTGCCCACTTCCAAGCAACATAATTAGCTGTTCACATTTGTCAGTGTGAGGTCAAGCATCCTTAAGTGCCTACAATTAAGCTGTCACGTTAAGGTTGGGCAATACGAAGAAAAGACACCCGAAACGTCTGTGTGCAAAAAAGTCCAACATAATACTTTAAATAGAGCCAGAAGTCTTTGATATAATTGAAAGGTTTCTTAAGATGTAAGTTTAAGAGATAAAAGGTTTTTATAGAAATAAAAGGTTCTTTATTGATAACGTTCGTTCTTTAAATTAAGTCATCTTCCGATACAATAACAAGTACTTACACGAGGCTTCAAATACAAGCAGTTAGTTTATAGGATGCTAAATTACAAATAGCTTAAGATATTAAGAATTAAGTTTAGTTGACAAGACAAAAAGCTGGCGAGTCCATTTAGAAAATAAATGAAGAGGCAACATTCTGAAAGAGGCTAAGAGGAACAAAACTAGCTTGGGTGTTAAGAGAAGGTTTAAGCATAGATATGAGAAGGCTTTCCTCAATCACGAGCTCTTAATTGTCATAGGAAGAGAAAGTTGCAAAGTCATTAAAAACCGCAAAGTGGGATGTGTTTCTTCGAGAAAGAATAGCAGATGGTGGTAGACAAAAAAGGATGTCTTACTTCGAAGAAGAAACGTCATTAATTAAAAAACCTTTTAACTCTATTTACTTTCGTAATAGCTCTTTTTTAAAGTTATATGTTGGGCTAGAATATTCATAACTGTAAAATTCACCTTTCGTCTGGCAAATCTCTGGTCACGATTTTAAACATGCGATGTTGATTACTTTTGATGACTACACTGAAATTTCTTTTTAACAGAATACAGTACAAGCACGTCATTTACAAAGCGAAATGAGCCCCGACTCTGAAATCAATTTTAGAAACAGCTTTACACCTTCAAATAGTTCTCCATACTTACATGTGATAAACATTAAAGAATTAATGGAATATTTCAACCTGCAGTTGAAATTAGAGTTGAAATTTCCATACTCGAAATCATGGCCCAAGATTTACGGGCGGAACGCAAATTGTTATTATTAATATAATATAGTCGAAAACATGCAAAACTTTAAAAAAGAGCTATTACGACAATAAATTAGAGATAAACGATTTTTTAATGAAGGCGTTTCGTCTTTAGACATCTTCCAGACTCAAAATTTTTTCAGATACAATGACAATTATCTTCACGCGGGTTCAAATATATGCAGAGGCGTCATCAATAAGAAAAACTTTTGTGTCTAATTTATAATCGTGATGGCTCTATTTTTAAAAGTCTTATGTTAAGCTAACAGCCTATCACATTCACAATGTATAATTCTTTATTTTCAGTAATATTATATATTCATATCGCTGTCATTCGTTATCGTGAAGCATTTGCAGATTTTAGTGTGTTGAGTGCAAAATTAGTAATCAACGTTAAATTGTAAATTAATTAACACTATTTATTTGATAATTTTAAGCGACGAAGTTTTGCTTATTCCGATCATAATTCCAAACTAGATTCCGAGCTTTATTCGCACCTGTATATTTCGTAAATCTCGTGTAGAAATATGGTTTCTTTAGTCAAATATGATATGATGTTCCCCTTATAATCTACATCAAGTCTAACTCTTATCAATTAAGCTTTTCACTTTTGACTTTCTTGACTTGACTTATAAAGAAACTCAAAGGAAACAAGAAAGTAAAAATCACCATTGAAATAATTGCAAAAAGCAAAACTTTGTGTTCTTGTTTGACTCTTCGCAGCTAAAATGTTTATTATGCATCCCGCATAAGCTCCAAATCAGCCATGGTCAATTCAACAGCATTTTGGCATTTTCTAGCATAAATTCCATAAAAAGGCGTTTTCTTATTTTGGCACTTTGAGAAGAAATACTATAAAAACTTTTTAACTTTAAAACATAAGAAACCTCTCCCTCAACTATCTCTTTCTAGAAAGAAATACTTTCATGGAGAAAAAAACATTAGCGTGTGCTTTAATTGTTCTCAACAGAGGCAAAAAGCTGTCTGATTGCGAAAAAATAACTACAAAAAGAAGTTTTTGCTGACTTGAAGGCACAGAGGCAGATGAAAAGACTATAAATAACAACTTTATTCCAAAGCCATCATCAGAGTATATACATACTATATTAATCCTAACACGGTTTTTAATATGCACATGAAAAACATGTGACTTGGACGAGATTTGAACTCGCACCTTCGGGTATTAGTCGCGGACCAGTACCAACATTCACGGGGAGAAAATTCAGTTTAAGAGAAGCAAAGCAAGAAGTAATTCTGAGAAGGTTTGCAGAACAAGCACTTCAATTAACAATTGAATTTCGAAGGCAAAAGTTTTTAATTCGTTGGTTTGATGTGAAACATCGACGATCGCATGCAAACTAAATTGTTGTTGGAAATGTATGTATCTAGCTAGCCAGAAAAAATGTCTGTCAATTTTATCGAACATTTTAGTTCTTTATTTTCTCGTATCGGTCATTCACACTGTTAACAATTGCTACTTGTTCTTGAAATATAGTGTCACCATGCATTTCAAAATCTTAACAATCACTTTGGCATTCTTCATATCCTTGTCATCTGCAGGTACGTTGCAAAAACTCACATAGCTAAATTTCCTTAAGTTTACGCTTTAAAAAATCTTTCTTGAAAAAAGATCTCATAACACACTTAGTTCGATGTTGTTTATTATACGTATCAAAGATAGTATAGGTAAATGTTGACTTGTTTCGTATGAGTAATTTTGATCTTTATGTCTCCTGTAAACATTCCATCTCAAAGGCCACACGCGTAGTTTGTATAGTTGGTCAATATGTTAACATCGTATACGAATTGTATTCAGTTTATTATTGGAACGCTTCTCAGGTTGGATATTTCAGAAGAAATCTTGCTTAAAATAGAAAAAATCCTACTTGACCAGAATGTTAAGTTTTCGCAACAACAAATCACCAGAGTACAATTATTTCCATCTTTTTCAGAAAAATTTGAAAAAAATTGAATAGGAATAAAAATAGAAAAAAAATAGGAATAAAAATAGGAATAAAAATAGGAATAAAAATAGAAAGAGATGAAGTTCGTACTTGTGTCTTTGAGAAAGAAGCTAAAGTGAAGGCCGAATAAGTCTGTGACGTCATAGCCTCCATCATGTAATATTCATAAAGTAACTCGATGATAATAAAAATAACAATATGTCAATGCTGACTTGTGTATATTGATTTAGGGCTCTCTTCTCATTGGCCTTTCCCCACGATGTTGCATCAGACTTAAACTGTGAACCATAACAAACATCTTTGACCAGGCTTAGTGATGGTGTTTCAGGATTTTGCTGACAAGCCCTGTGGAAGTTGCTGGCAGTTATTCTCTCCATTAGCATTTTATGCACATATCATGATTGACTTGCTTCGATTTCGAAGTTACTTCATACAAGCAAGCTTGTTGAGAACATTCAATTAACTTCGGGCTCTCTTTGGACACAAATTGGTTAAACTGGTCTGGAAGGCCAGGTTCTTTGTGCATTAGATTTTTATTTTCTGTATTTTATTTTCCTTTAGATTGTTTTTCTTTAAATTGTGTCAGATCGGTGTTTTACACATCTGATATGTTCATCGGTTTACGTTTAGATGAACTAACTCACACTTGTTCATTGATATGTTCACTGACTTTTTATTACAAGTCTCAAACTATCGTAATTTTGATACAATTCATTAGTGCATTTACCAACAGGGAATGTTATAAAGACCCAGTTTTAATACACCCCCATCTTTACAGTAATATTGGAATGTATACAGGCAGCCGAATGATTTCCATCATGAATATTTACACAAAATTTTTTCATACTGATTGTGACAATGATTGTAAAAACACGTTTAAGTAATAATTATACTAACCTTTATGATTAAAATCTTGATGTTAGTACTTGCTTTACCGACATACAAATAACCTCACACCCATCCAGCAACAAAATACTGGTATGATTCTAAGCTTTTGTAAGCTTTCAGTTGCTCCTGGTATACTCTTGTTGAAAACAACAGGTAGTGTCACAATGTCAGGGAACTCAACATTGGGCCATAACCATCGCGTCAGAAAAATTTGTGATAACATTGTAAGGATCGATACCACAAATTAACTTTAACTTCTCTTCGTATTTAACACGATCTTCAACACTTAAAGTTTCACGATATTTAGGAAGGCATGGCACTCGTTCGTATTGACTTGACGCCATGTGCGTTTTGCATGCCCCCTATCATGGCGCCATAGTTACGGTTGCTAATCAACAAGTTGTAAGTCACGAGTTCATGCAAAGCCTCTATTGCTGTATCGCTTGCTGTGTGCAGTGTACATCGAAAATCATACAGATGTAAACTAGAATACGGCAGCACTTCCTTGTTCTTTTAAGAGAATTATCATTCTGTAGATTTGTCCTCATACTGGCGATTCACAAGAAGAATTTCTGCCATGCGACGACATAGTCGAGGGCCTCGAGGCTGTTGTATACCGTAGCAACTAAAAGCAAGTGGCATGATTGCTAGCATCAGTCGAAGAATTGTCGTGTAGAAAGACATTGTCGCGCAGGAGAAAGAACTTGTAAACGCTTTATAGAGTCAATTAGATTGTTGCTTTCGTTCTGTTCTGAAATGGTCTTAGTGAAAGTATTTATCATGTTTGTAATTTCCATTACTTGCATCAATATGAAACTCAACTGCATACTTCGTTCAAGTGGGAGTGAGTCCAGTAAGAAGATTGATCAATACCGTATATATTATAGACTATTATGGCTTTCACAACGTTTCCTCGAACAAATGAGTGCTTGATACTGAAAGCCCAGAGCAAAGTAAGCAATGTTTTAATGTATTATTTATGTGATGACAGGAGGCCTCATTGTTTATACAATATATGGAAGCTCCATTATTTCAGATTTTTGCAAGCAGTTTCGTAATTGGTAATTTACTGTCGGTTCTTAACATCCTCGGTTTTACATTTTCCTTCTACCACTGAAATGTTAGGCTGTCAGGATGTATTGGATGACACATGCAAAGCAATATTAAAAATTTCAATAGATATGTTATTGATATTTTGTTAGGCTACACCTGCAAAGCATTCCAGCTGATAAGAATAATGAATCATCTTTGGAGCAAAATATTAAAAACTGAAAGGCATCTTTCTTAACACCTTTTTTGTTTTGTAGAAGATAATTGTTTAACCAATTGTTTGTGTCCTCTTGTGCTTCTATTAGCTTTTTATATGCAATACAACCTAACTTAAAGAAAAAAAATACTTCATTGCAGTTACCTAATAAAGTTGTAGAAATGTAAGCTGCATATTACCCCTAGTGAGCCAAATCCATGCCTTGAGATTTTTACCGATATTGTATTAGCATCAGATAATCTTTGGTAAATCCTTTACTTTTAACTTTGCATACTATACAGTTTACAAAGGGAAGCCTGCAACTGTTGAAGAATTTGTTAAAGGAACATTTTGTAAAGATGTTAACAACAATGGAAAAGTGTGCAGACCTGAGGCTAGTTGTTTTGATGTAAATTAGTCAGTTTTGTATTCATAGTTAACATGTTGTTTGGTGAAGTAAAACAAAAACACTGATGCTATACTAACAAATAGTCAAATACTTTGAATTGATCTATGTGCTTAATAATGTAATGACGATGAAATGCACCTTTTGATAAAAAGCAAACAATTTGTTTATTGTTGCTAGGTAGTGTGAATACCGATATGGCGCTTCTAGTCATGTTTATTGTGGAATATGCCAAACCTTTTTGGCTTTTTCGTGGAGCTCAGTCAAGTATATTAAAATTGCTATCACAGATGGATCTAACAGGGTGGCCCAGGAATTCCCAAAGAGCGGCTAAGGTCCTCGACGGGGGCTGACTTAGCTACTAGGCTGATGTGACAATGCGCTTCCATGCAAATCTTAAGTTGCTCAAATAAGTTTTTTATGTGAAGTATTTAATCTTTTTTATTTACCAAAATGATTAACACTTTGCTAAATCTCGGCTACCAGGCTCATGTAATTGGCCCTTAGAGGCTGACCAAGCTTCATTGATTTAGCGCTGGTAAAATTTGGATCTATAGATGGGATTTTCTTTCTGTGTTGTGTTGATGAAACAACAAATCAAGGAAAACTATAGCGACACTTTCCTTTATGTATACCAGTATGATTCTACTAAAACAATTAGATTACTCGCTCTCAAATGCCATGATGCGATAGTTGATTTTGGCTTTGTACTCATCAACTATCATTTTGTAGATGAGAGCTCGTAATCTAAATGTTGAATTACTACAGCAAACTATGGTGGAAAAAGGTTTGTTTTAAAGATGACGCTTTGTCTTCTATTTAAGACATCATCAGCTGATACGTAGTTATTTCCCTGAGATATATTTACTGAGTAAAAAAACTTTTTTGCAAACCTCTACTTTGTGTTTAAAATGGAACGATATTTGGAGTGAAACATTACATTCTGTTCTATATTGTTGATAAATGTAGTCGTCCATCCGTGACATCTAAGTGTTTGTGTCACACAATCAGTCGTGACTCTTTCATTGCAACATCAAAATTCAGAGAATATGCCGCAAAATGGGTCTTAATCATAAGAGCGAGTGATAGATCACGCGTTTGTACCAAAAATTTCATCTAGGAAACAAGATAAAAACGTAAGGTAAGTCATTTTATAATTCAGTTCGCACGCGATAAGAGCTCTATTCACCCTTAGCTATATTGGAAGAAAATGATACTCAAAACCGTCAAAATGTGCACTTCAAGCTATTTGTACTGTCAAGTCAACGATTTTTAAGTACATTTGATTTTCAGGGCAATAAATTCCTGTCGGCTGGTAATTCGTCGAGGTTTTAGCAATTTTCGGAAATCGAAACATGTTTAAATGTTGTTCGTCGAACTGTCAAGTACAAATACACCACAGGTTTCCTTTAACAAAAGACTAGGTAATCTTCAATAGCAACCATTCTGTTAGGATTTTCTAAACAATGTATCTCGCTCGCGCACGTCGGCTGGTGCTTACAGTAACATTGATAAAATATTCTTTGATACACACCGAGAACGAAAATAATTTACCACGAAATTAAAAGTCCGGTTGACCTGATAGATTTCAAGGTGTAATTTAATTATTCTGTAGTCTTAACTAATAATTACAGTATCTTTAAGCAGTGTTTACAAAGACGAAATGAACCATTAATTTAATAAGATATTCGTTACTTTCGTAAGTTTTGCTCCACATTCAAAATTCACAAAAACGACTAACCACATTCAATATTGCCGTACTTCATACAAACAAATTGTCGTAAATTTTAAAGTCGTGCGAGGCCATAACGAAAGAGTAAAATATAACCTTTAATATTTCTGACAAATGGAGTAATTTTGTGTTACTTTCATTTCTTTGTTTGGTCAATAAATGTTTATTCATAGAATGAAGACAATTACACAATGGTCATAAACTTTATGCTTGGTGGGTATGTACATAACAGTATTAAATAAGGTTTGAATATCTGAGTTAAACATTAATAAATATTGGGGGAGTTGGGAGAAGATACCTCTTCAGAAAATCCTCAAATGACTTACAACTGTTAATAGATAATGTGTTGTATGCCAGGTGAATTTTATACAGAGCAACCAATTTAAATGTCCAACTTACAATAAGGGCAAATGGTCAGAAAAGTTAAGTTACACCAATGAATGTATGTATTGTTGGCAAATAAAACTTGAATGATATGCTGAGATAGTCTATGGCACTCTAAAGCAATATTTAAAGATGAACAACTGAGGATCATATACACACTACACTGACTTAATTTGAAAAAAATTGAAATACAAATCAACACCATCAGAATAATTTTCTAGATACAAGTCTCTTGAGCAAAAATGGTGGCAAAGTTCACTTAAGTTGAAATAGTTCTTTTTGAGGAAGCCAATTAACAGTTTAAAACACATACGTACCACATGGCATTTTGAAGCGCTTCATCTTTTATACTTTTTGTGAGAAAAACAGTGAGCAGATTAACATTAACAAAGTAGAGCCATTAAAATTATGATAGCAAATTTCAATCCACTGAACTTTGAAAGCAAGTCTCTAAATAAGAAAAAGTATGGTGGTAAATATATGTCATATAATTTCATGTAATAACCATGAAACACTTGTGCTATTTGGACAATGGCTGAGTTTTTATTAGCCTGTGAAACTGATGTGACCTCAATCAATTATGTCAATCAAAGAGAATTTGCAAAATAATCATCAATACATGTTAACAAGAAAATTAAAACATTTCTTTAAAATTTCTTTGTTTCTATTTCTTATTTTAAAAAATAAAAGATGTTTTTCATGTTAGCACTGGCTTATGCAAGCTTTGGAGACATTTGTGAAACTCGTGAGCAGGTGCAAACTTTGAAGTCAGGCTTGCACTCATTCTCTCTCAGCTTCTCCCAAACATCTCCCTTGTTTACATAAGCCTGTGGAAATACAGTAAATATCTTTTATTTCTTATTACCACAACAACTAAAATGATTACTCCTTGACAAGATATTAAAATCCTTTCCAAGCAGACAATTTCAGAAATATAAGATGAAACATACTTTGATGAACAAAGACATCTTGTAAACTCAAGTTATGAGTTGTATTAAAAAACAAGATGATATTTGACTCTATTTTACAATCATTGATATTCCAGAACAGTCTTGTTTGTAACATAACTCATATCTTGTGTTGGCAAGCTGTCTGTCTTGGGATGCTCAACCTGCCTAACTTTGGGAATAAGAGGCCTGAGCTTCCCTAAAAATATTACTTGAATCTTGATAGTAATCTCAATGTTATTTACTTAAAGAAAACAAAAATACAAACTCATCCCTAAGGATAATGACTAATAACAACTCATCCCTCAGGCTGGCAGCAGTCAAGCTTGAAATTGTAATGTAATGCTTCTATGGTGGCAGAGCAAAACTTTTTAATATTCTATCATTGGAAAGAAAAATATATTACAACAGACTAAATGAGACCATTATTTGTATTTATACAGGGTGTATAAAAAATAACTTTGGAAATTCATGTATGTTATAATTTCAATGCCTATTACAATACTAAGTCTGCAAGCACATAAAATATTGTCAGATACATGCTCATATTATAAATCTTTGTTATTAGCACAAAAGCTCCTTTCTGCTCCTGGGATTTTGTTCATAACGGTATTTGGTGTACTGAAATGTCTACTATCAATAAATATTTTACAAAATAAGAATAAAAGTAATCGGCAACAATTACTCTAAATGAATGCAGTACTATTTTTATTTGCTTTACAGAGGAAAAAATCCTAAAACACAGAGTTTGAAAATTCAGAGACTTCTTTCGGTAAGTAAATTTTTAAAATGAGCACACAAAGGCCTGGTCACATGATGCACATATGAAACTCAAATGGTTGACTCAGTTCACATGATGTGTTCATGTCAGAGTTTTATTCCAGATTGGTGTTGAGTCTGCACTATGCCACATTGATTCTGGCTTTGTGTTTGATTGGTTTTCTTATTTGAAGTCTTATCAATTTGCTGACCAAGTTTAACACTGTTGCACTTGCATATGAATTTTTACATTCATCACTTTCAGTAGAGAAAAATATATTGGCTTTCTAACTTTACCATAAGAGCATTGTGTGAACTTGACCCTTAAAATGGGTGCAGCTTCATTTGCATGTCATACCCTTAGCATGGCTCCCATTTGACTGCTGCACTCAGGATCCAAGCAAAAACAGGCAGTTATGGTAATTAAATGTCAAACTTTGACAGCAGGGGGTCTCTACTTGAAGACAAGCCTTTTTATTTCTTAGAGACTTTGATGTTTCAAAGTTTAAACCCAATTTTGCTTAAAAATGTTTAAAGCTATTCTGAAGTTTTAATGCTAGTTTAGCTAGTGTAGATTTACATGATGTATATGCATATATCATACCTTTCAGTTCTTATGAGAAACATACAGTCAGTACATGAACATTAACCAGTAGAACCATGATGAGATATAAAGTGAATACATGAACATTAACCAGTAGAACCATGATGAGACACACAGGGAATACATAAACACTGAACCAATAGAACCATGATAAGATGACCTGGGAGTACATAAACTTTAACCAAGAGACAAATGGTAAA